GTGTGTGTGTGTGTGTGTGTGTGTGTGTGTGTGTGTGTGTGTGTAGTTCTACGGAATACACATGTAGAGATTCATGTAACTTTCACCACAATGAAGACACAGAACTATTTCACCACCAAGGAACCCCTTTGTGCTATTCCTTGATCTTGGGGGCTATCCTCTGGTGACCATCTCTTCTTATATCTTATAAGCACTAGCAGGGTTCTCCAACACTGTGTCTGTGCCCTTTAAAGTATGGTACAGTGTGGAACCTTGAAAGTCTTTTTTCCCATCATGCTTAACAACAAAAAAAGAGAACTGTAATATTTTTTAAAAGATAACACTTACCATTGAATCCAAAAGAATATTTTCTGGTTTCAAGTCTCTATTAAATTGAAAGGAAAGAAATGATTATTCCCTTAAATTTTTTAAAAGCTATTTTCTATGTAATTTTTAAACGATTTACCTGTATACTATTTTGATGGAGTGCAAATAACCCAAGGCACTGGCAATTTCAGCAGCATAAAACCTTGCTCTGTGTTCAGGAAAAGACCGTTCTCTTTGTAAGTGAAAAAATAACTGGAAATTGGGGAGAAAGGTATTAAAATCATTCACTAATAGCATTGAACAAAAAATTCTGTGCTTTGTATTTTGAACATGAGCTGAAAGTACACTGAAGCACAGAGCTGTAGCCTACTCTTGTCCACGCTACTCAGCCAAAATCCTATCACTGTCTTCAACCATGCACCCATCTCTTATCCAACACTGGTGGCCCCTGCTGCTAACTTCTCATCTCCCACATACTGCTCTCAATCTTCAATGCCACAATATCCAGAGCAATCCAGATAACCACTCTGGAAAAGATTATTAAGGAAAACCCACAATTTTGAGTTAGCGTGTAATTTACCTTACTGGGCCTCTGTGGACTGCTTAGTAAATAAGAAGCATACTGAGTCTTCAAATACTTACCTTATTTAATCCTCCCAACAGTTTTGAGGTAGGAAATCACTGAGGACAGGATGCTAGGCTCAGAAAGGCGTACCTGCTCAGTATCACATAACTTACTTGCTAAAACTTCACTTGTCACTAAGAAAAAGATTAAGTAGTACACAAAAGAACAGTATCCTACACCAAGGTTTTAAGTATGATTATCAGAGAGAAAATGATGGTAAGAACAGGAAAGCTGGCCACGATGATGCATAAATCTATAAGCCCAGCATTTGGAGTTGAGGCCAGTCTGGGCTAAACAGTGAGACCTTAACTCAGAAAAACAAAACAAAGCTGGGCGTGGTGGCACAGGTGTGTAATCCCAGCACTTGGGAGACTAAGGCAGAAAGATGCCACAAGTTCAAGGCTGGCCAGGGCTACATAGGGAGTACCAGATCAGCAAAAAACTACATAGCAAGGCCTTGACTCATAAAAACAAACAAAAAACCCCAACCCTCCCTGCAAAGATAAAAATTTAACATTGAAAGAGAACGCTCTGCCTCTACCCTTCTTCCTGATCCTAGTTCCCATCTTCCTGTCTCATTTCCCCACTGCCACACTTAACTCCTCCACTCTTCAGCATTCTATTGCACTCCATTCTTTTTCCCCTCATCCTAGCAAAGGTCACCTTTTAGATGACAAGCCTGACTCTTTCCACTTTTGCTGCTTAGGTCTGAACAGCTACTGGGCAAAAAGGGCTTATAAGCAAGGTCCTAAACATCATGAAGAAACCACAGACAAAGAAGGAAACTTGCAGTAGGAGTTTATCCGCACTCATGCCTCCCGTGAACATCTCAAAGACAAAGTGTTAAGGAAGAGTTCTTGGGACTGAGACATCTCCATTAAATCTGAAGCCAAAGCTTTAGTGGAACAAGGAGACACTGAGAAAGTTAACTTCTGTTTCAATTTCTTTATCTCCTGCAACCCATTTTAGGGTTCCTTCTCTTTCATGTTATCTTTATTCTATAGTTAAGTACAATAACATTGAAAGTCTTTCCCTTTCTCTGCTGAGACTGAAGCATGGGTGATTCTTTTGTAAAGATAATCAGAATTATTTTAGGGATACTCATGGGTCAAAGATCAAATAATTAGAAAAGTACGAGGGCTGAAAAGTAGAGAGACGGGACTGGCCAGCGTCTGAAACCTGGAATCAGACTGCTTGCATTCAATCTGTGCCACTAGCTACGTGCCTCCCACCAGCTAGTTGGCTTCTCTGTATCTTGGTTTCTTCATCTTGGATAAAGAGGTGTTTGTGAAGATCAAATAATATACACAGAGTCAGAGTGTTGGGCACATGAGTAATGCTTGACCCATATTAGCTACTACTGTAATTGTTACTATAACCATTAACATTTTCCAAACTATGTTTCCATAGTCTCCTGAATAAGAGTTTGGGGGACTAATATTAGTACACCTGGCACAAACAAAAGAGGGGACTCTGATTTAAAAAAAGATCACTAAGATGCTAAATCACCAAGGTGAGGCAACATGGAGCATTTCCCAGCTGACTGCATGACAGGGCTTGCATCAGAGGATCATCTCACTCTCAGAAGTCTGAACATTTTAGGAAATGACAGGCTGGGCTAACATTTATAGGCAAGTGCTGAAACAGTTATCTAAGTTATAAATCATGCTTTATTGTAATATCACAGTGTCATTCTTGCAATGAGCTCTGACAGCTCTCTACGAAGCCTATGGCTTCACCCCAGGGTGTCTCCCTCTTCTACACCCTGCACTGTCTGCTGAATACTGGTTCTACTCCACACACAGCTGTTGAGAATGCAGCCACTTCAAAATTTTGAAGAAACCTTTTTAATTTCATGCTATTTTTTTTCCTAACCATTATCTGTATTAAAAAGCTGATTATAAAACTTACCTCCCCTCCATTAACAAAATCCAGAACAAAATAAAGCTTTTCAGTTGTTTGAAAAGAATAATGCAACCCAACCAAGAATGGATGCTTCACGTTTTTCAAGAGCACGTTGCGTTCAGCCATAATATGTTTTTGCTAGGAAAAAAGGCAAAGTATCAACTTGTACTATACATCCCAAAACAACCACTGAGAAAGAAACAACAGCTATTTAATTTTTACCTCTTTTCTGTTGAGAACTATTTTTTTCTGTAATACTTTGACAGCATAAAATTTTCCATCCAGCTTCCTCTTTGCAAGAAGAACCTGTTTTAAAGATTATACAAATAATTAAAGATTTTTGCTACTTTTATAGGTATAACCTTGTTAAGAAACCAATGCCTTCAAAATTTTCTAAAATCCAAGTCAACAAAGGACCTAGCTAATGTTTTTGTTTTGAAAACTGAACACTATCAAATTTACTTCTGTAATTCCACTTGTCCTTAGATATTTAATAAAAAAAACTGTATTATCTGAGAAGCTAGGGATCACTCCTTTTTATTTAATAACTTGATAATGAGGCTTTTTATTAAATTAAGCACTAAAATATACACAGCTTGAGAATTAATCTGTATCAGCCTTGAGCCCTGAAGAGCGTCCCTAGAGAATACTGAGGTAAAGCTGGCAAAATGGCTGAGCAGGTAAAGGTGCTTATCTCCAGCAACGATCCGAACTGCATTCCTGGGATCCACATGGTAGGAGAGAACTAACTTCCCCAAGTTGTCCTCTGAATTAAACTTATACATGCAAGCACACACACAAACACACACACGAATAATAATGGAAAGAAGAAGAAAAACTGAAGCTAGAATATTCATGGCTCTATAATAGAAGAAATTATTTTTCACCAAACAAAACGTACTGTCATTTTAAATTTCGCCTTTTATAGGTTTTAAATTCAGAAGACTTCAGAGGAAGAAGCATCATATACAGATGCACTTTGTTTGTTTGTTTTGAGATAGGGTCTAACAATAGCCCTGGATGGCCTAGAACTCACTGTGTAGAGTTGGCTGGCCTTAAACTCACTGGCCTGACTCTGCCTCCTGAGTGCTGGGATTAAAGGTGTGTCCATCACACCCTGCAATTTTTTTCCTTTTCTTTCCTTCTCCAATACACTGACTAGCTCATCTTCACATCACAGACTTCAGTATTCAGAAGGCACTAATTTGCCTTAATTTCTTCCTTCAGCAGACTGGCAGATTTGAACAGATGGAAAATTAAAAAGCAAATCAGGAAATGAAAATGGAGCCAAGACCATACAATAAAACGTTTACGATGAATGCTAGACCACACAGGTTCAGTTGGTCACATATATTACTATTTTTCAAGCAGATTTCTGCATTTGCATTTGCTTTGCTTTATTTTGTGAATTCAGCTTCTGTTTTACTCAATTTTGTAGGTTTATAATCACTTTGAAAAATGCATTATTTTTTATTAAACATAGCTTACACATAAAAATTCACAAATCTTGATAAGTTATCAAAAAATGAGCATACCTAGGCAACCACTATCTAGGGCAAATAAAACACGCCACGTAATCTGAAGACTTTTGTCCCATCACATTGATGACTCATGTTAACTCCTCCTCAAAGTAAAGTACACCACTATCTCAACATGCAATAACTAGCAAGTTCAGAATTTAAAAGAATTATGTAATTAAAATCATACAAAAGTCATTCCTTTCTCATTTCGTTCACTCTTAAGTTATGTAATATTTGCTTATGCTGTGGCATGGAGAGTAGATTCAATATTCTGCACTGCCATGCAGCATATTCTATCCCAGCGTCTCCACTCTCATGATAAACTGTTTACGAACAGTGATGCTTTGAACATGCCTGCATATGCCTTTCCTGGCACACATGTCTTTCAGTACATTTTATGTATGTATGTCATGAATACATTCAGCCTCAATAATTACCACCAGTTTCCAACAGTTCAAAAAGAAACACAGGAATCAATCTCAGTAAAGAGAGGTATAAAATTACATACAGGACATTATAAAATATGGAGAAAATTTTAAAATGTTAATTTACTGAAAAAGCATTACCCAATGTTTATAGACTAGGACATTCAGTATCATAAAGACATCAATTCTCTTCTAGACTCTAGATTCAATGTAATCCCAATTAAATTCTAATCAAATTTTGAAGAAAATGACATAATTCTAAAATTTACGCAGCTATGGAAAGGACTTAATACCCTCTTGAGATGAATGAAGGGAGAACTTGTACAGGCTGAGAGGCTACAATTGTGAAGACCATGTAGCGTGGTTCCAGGATAAACAAGTAGACCAAAGGACAGACTATAAAACCTAGAAACAAAGCTACACACTGTAAAATCTAAAACCAGAATTGTGCATAAAAACACCAAGGATGGAGGTGGTCCTTCATATCAGTACAGGGAAAATGGTCTTTCAGTAAATTCTGTGACATCGGCCTAATAGCAATATGGAAAAAAATTAATAATCACCCTACCCTTCGCATTACATGCAACAAAAATGAAATCCTAATAGATAATATATATGCATGAAGTTTAAAAATCTCCCACAAAGCCAGTATTTTTGAGCAAATATACATGGAGTTAATGGTATGGTTAGTTTCTGTTCTCAAAGCAATTCAGAAGACAAAAGATATCAAAGCTATGAATATAAGAAAATATAATACATATTCATTTTTTACTACAGATTGAAATTTGCAAAACAAAAAGAATAAATACATTTGATGATTCAGAGAAATTAACCTATGACACTTTGTATTGGCATCCTCAACCATCAGTGATCCTGCGCTCTTGGTACAGCGGGATACTGCCAAGTTTTATTGAGATTAAGCAGTGCCTTCACACCTTCTTTCCTTTCTCCAACTCTGATTTACAAAGGTGATCACTTTTGTCTGTTGAATTGCACATCTTCAAAAGGTCACTCCTGATCAAACCATCTCAGTGGGGCTTTTCCTTCCTACCGCCTACTGTCCTGGCACTTCTCCCTACTCACTTCCATCATAGCCCCTTTACTATTTATATTTACTGAAGTTTTTTTTTAATTTTTAAAAATTTTATTTATTTTTTTATGTGTATGTGTGTATTGCCTGCATGTAGGTAAGTGCATCCGTGTTGTTCAATGCCCACGGAGGTTAGACGAGGCTGTCGGATCCCCTGGGACTGGAGTTACAGACAGTGGTTAGCTGCCATGTGGGTGCTGGGATTCAAACCCGAGTCTTTTGCAAGAACAACCAGTGTTCTTAACCACTGAGCCATCTCTCCAGCCCCTTTACTGAAGTTTTTAATATAGTACTTATTCCACTAGGTCGCAAGCATCACAGTTTCTCAAGAGAAGAGCCCAGAGAGGCACTTGGCAATACTAAGTTCTCAATAAATACATATTAAATCAATGCACTTACCTTAGAATTTTAGTGCATGCCTTATCTCCTTAAATATTCTGTTAGGACTTTGCACAGAAGAGATCTTAAGTCTTCCACTTACATATAAAAAGCTTCACGATTCACACATGCAAAGCAAAGCATACATTAAGTGCTTACCCAATGGATGAGAGAATGAGAACTCTTACCTTGCCAAAGCTACCCTTTCCAATAACTTTTAAAAAATCAAAGTCAGTTGGTTTCGCACTGAAAGAAATTAACAATGACAAAAATCAGTCTTCTAGAAACTGTTAACACATTAACTTTTAGCATTTTATTCCTTAACAAACTAATATGGGAGACAAAATACACAGGCATGATTACCTGAGCTTCCACACTGGGATCATCTTTGTTAAACTCAATAATGTCTAGTTTCTGATTAAATATTTCTGACTAAATGTTTTATAGCCTGTTTAAGCTCTGCTTAAGAAGCACTTCAGTAATATTCTCTGGGGATAAAAGATGAAGGTATGCATTTCTCTCATATATACACAGACACACAGTTTTAAACCACACACATACATACAGATACAGTTTTAAACCAAAAATAGTCTCTTTCTAAACCAGTTTCATTAACCATAACGTCACCAGTATTGTTAGTGAAGAAACTGAATTACATAAACTGAGGGATTATTTGGTATCCAGTAATTCTTCTGAAAAACAAAGTGCTGATGGCTAGTACCTAGGAAAGACTCCAAGGAAACTTGCTAGTGTAGAAATCTTCAGTGTTTTATATCTAGGTCCCTTAGTGTACATTAAAGAGAAAAGATTTCTCTGGTTTATTCTCATGGATAATAAAATAAAGGAAACCTAGGAACAAAACGCCAGAGGATATGCGAAGATTTCCCTTTTATTTATTTTTAACCTGCTACAGCAGGTAAAAGCAGAATTGGGTATATATGCCCAACCGCACAAGGCAGCAGGAAGCTGAACTAAGTAGCCAGAAGAATGTTTCCTCTCAGAGGAATCACTTCATTTAGGTTTGAAATTTCCATTGCTTAGGGGAAAGAAAAGGTCAGCAAGTCGGCTCAAGCAAAAGGTGCCTGGTGCCAAGCCTGACAATACGAGTCAAAGCCCCAGGACCCACATGTTAGGAGAAAAATGACTACCATAAGTTGTCCCTGACCTCCACATGAATGTCATGGAATGTGTGCACTCACACATTCACACACACTTCCACATGCAAATAAATGAATGAATAATATAATTTTTAAAATATATTCATACACATTTTACAACACCAGATATAGATTGAATACTATGACAAAGATGAACAAGGTTACATTAATGAAGTAAGCAAGATTCAGAAATAAGTATCACACATTTACTCTTATGAGTAGAATCTGGATTTACACACGGGGGCGGGGATTAAAATACAAGAAAGACTGAAGGGGAGCAGGGTGTAAAGGTAAGGAGGAACAGAAACAGACAATGAAAATAACACGTTTTTTGCTGAATGAAGATTTAGCAGTATGTGCATACACGCACATTAATGATAAGAAAGCAGAAGGCAGCCTATTTGGTGGGAAGGAGTAAGAGGACTGAAAGGTTAGCGCATGGACAGTGGGGGGCAAATATGAGCAAAGTACAATGATATATGCATTAAAAATGTTGAAGGGAGAGAAGGGTAAAAAAGTCATAAACCCATTATTTTGTATGTTAACTAAACTTAAAAACAAGACAGGATATATAAAAAGTTTAGTAAATATAGATGTGCATTTCTTCAGAAATCTGCTCTTTGGACTATTTTGTTCTTTAATGAAATGTTTTAAACAAAAGCTTGAAAATGAAAATACACACAATCTTTCTAACAGCAAATAGGCTGAGCCCCCACTAACTGCTGTTGAGCCCTAAGTGGAAAGCACAGATCCATTCTGTGGTGCCACTTTGTTCAATGCTATCAATGATAACAAGAATGCTCAAAACTAAACCTCTTCTTCCAGCTACTACCCCAGTCACTCCTTGCTAGTCTGTACAGCGAAACTCCTGTAAGTGGTATCAACTGTTTATCTTGCTGACCTCTGTACCAGTTCTCCTGTGAACTCTTTCCTATCAAGATCTTCTAACCATTATTGAAATGGCTCATAAAGTTCACCAAACACTAAAGCAAATGATCAATTTTCTTTTTTTTTTTCTTTCTTTTTATTTTGAGACAGGGTCTCCCTGTAGCCCCAGCTGTCCTGGAACTACGTAGACCAGGCTGGCCTTGAACTCATAGAGATCCGCCTGCCTCTGCCTCCCAAGTGCTGGGACTACAGGTGTATCTTGCTTGTTCAGTAAGTATTAGCAGTATTATATCAGCAGTATTAGTAGTATTAATTTCTTTTCTTTGATACATTTTTCTTCCCTGACTTCAAGATACCATATGCCTGGTTATCCACCTACCTTATAAGTTTAAAAATTTTTTTAGTTACATTTATTTATTTATTTAGTGTGTGTGTGTGTGTGTGTGAGAGAGAGAGAGAGAGGCAGACTTAAAGAGGTCAGTTCTGTCCTTGGATCATGTAGGTTCTGGGGATTGAACTCAGGTCACAGGGCTTGGCAGCAAGTATCTTTACAGGTTGAGCTACCTTGCTGGCCCCTTACATATCTTTCTCAGTCTCCCTTTGCTGGCCCCTTACAAATCTTTCTCAGTCTCCCTTAACAGTTCTTCCCTGACCTCATGATGTTGATGGATGCTGTGTAGCAATTTCCTGAGAGATAAAACCTCTCATCTCTGGATAGAAGCTGGGTAAACAACAGGGTATCTGAGCGGAGGTAAACAACAGATGTTCTAAAGAAAGGTAAACAGGATGTTTTAAAGAGTGGTAAACCATTCCATCCTTCAGGAAAGCTCATTAAGCTCAGGAAGTAAAACAACTCAATAGCTTCAGGAAGTTCCTGAAACTGACCAGGTTCACTAGGCTCCTCCCTCCCTTAGTCTAGAAGACAGAGAGAAGCTGAGCTGCCTATGAGGGGCTGAGGTGTCTGAAAGAAACTGAAACCAGCTAAGCTGCCAGGAAGATGCTCAGAGCAACTGGGCTTCCTGGAATGGGCACTCCAACAGGGAGGTTGTGGGTGCTCCAGGTTTCTTGCTTTTCTGACCTGCCATCCATGCTGGGGTAGGCTTTTGGTGATGCCACTGTCTTTCAGTCATTTCTTCTCCTGTAACTAACCCCTCACTCAAACTCCTGGAAGTAATCCTAATAAAACCCATTGATTCACTAAGTTGGATCTGGGTGGCAACCTTTGATCTGTCCCTTTATCTGGGGTGAGTCCATATTTGTTCACAGCTCCTAAGGAATAGTATCCTACAAGTGGTTAATGGACCCAGTTCTTGGATAATTTCTCCGTTTTCCTCCAACCAGTATTACTGACAAGTTTCTTAGCCTCTATTAGCAGTTCTTTCCTGACCTGATGTTGAAATGCTCCTGGACCCAATCCTTGGATCAGTTTTCCTACCTGTCTAGACTCACATTCCAAGTAGAACAAAAGGACAAGGAAAGCATGGTAACCTGAGAATTAATCCAGTAATCCTGAGAGGCTAATTACAAGTAATGATGGTAATACTACACTCCTTTTCTAATTCATGGCAGACATCACTAATCGACTCCTCAAACTGATTCTCTGGAATACTTATGGAATGCTCTAGACATTTATCACCAATGTACTACTAGAGTTGATACTGGAAATGAAGCCTATATCATACCCCTGGTCTCAGTCAACATTTATTGGACAGTTCTTCAAAATGCTTCCCTGTACTTGAACAGTAAGCATAAATGGAATAACTAGGAAAACAAAGTTTAATACCTTTAACATAATGAATACTTTTTTTCTTCTCTATCCCTGACCCCAAATACCTTATAAGACTTATGGTCCTTTGGGAAACAAGTCATTTTTTCTTAACACAAAAATAAGAGACAAGGATCCCCAAAATAACATTCCAACGAACAACTTACACATTTTGATAAAAAGCCATTTTGGGCCAGTGAGATGACAACAGCTCAGTGGTAAAGGTACCTGCCAGCAAGCCCGACAATCTCCTGAGTTTGATCCCTGTAACTCATATGATGGAAAGTAAGACCCAGCTCCTGCAGCTGCCCTCTGACCTCCACATGCATGTGCAAACACACACAGATAAAATGTAAAAGCAGAAAAACCTAGCCTTTTAAAGGTTCAAACAATGAAAGCAAGGAAAAGCTACAGCATGAGTTGGTTAAGTAAATGACAGTGTTACAGTCACTGCAACTTCTACCACGTTTCACAGGTATCCAATTAAGTTGCTATAGTTACATATACATGCACACTTCTTAAAAGCCAAAGGACTGTTTGAAGTAAATTAAACCTACTGAGGATTTCCAGTTGGTCCCAGGTTGATGTTCTGTGAGGTAGAGTGTGGCTGTTTAGATAGGGAAAAACAATAGCGTTCTTATTAGAGCATCAATGAGCATCAGTCAATGAATGCTTTGAAATAAAATATATGTAACACCATCATAGGTACAGTAACTTATGTTAAAGAAACCTAAAGTCCCAATTTTTGAAATGTAATTCAACTATTTATTATAACTTTCCAGAGAAGCTTTAAGGAAAAAGGTAAGCCAGAAATTACACTCAAATTTGGCAAATGGAAGGAAGTAAATGTAGAAAATGTCCTAGAAAGATAGTCATTGAAAAGATACCTTAACGTGAGTAATCATCTTCCCATTTAAAAACTGGTAGCAATGGGTGTTTTTCAAATATTCAAGTTTATTAAAGGCAAGATGATAATAATGATTACAAATACTGGATTTTCTATTTCAATTTGATGATTGGATTTAACAGTGGCACCATCTCTGCAGCCCTATTCTGTTGCCATATATAGCATCTCCATGCCTATATAAGACTGTTTTGCTTTGTTTGATTGTGGTTATATATATAAAAACACAAAATTCACTTTTTTTTGTCTTTTTGAGATGGTCTCCCTGTAGCCCCAGCTGGCCTGGAACTCACTATGTAGACCAGGCTGGTCTTGAACTCAGAGATCACCCTGTCTGCGTCCTGAGTGCTGGGACTAAAGGAGTATGCCACCACACCCAGCTTTCTTACAATTTTTATTCGTGTGTGTGTGTATGCGTGTGCGTGCGTGTGTATGTGTGTGCAGGTACTCTTGCCTGTGCGTGTACATATAGAGGCCAAAGGTTGACTAGTATCCTCTATCTCTCTCCACTGAATTTTTAAAAGACAGTCTCTCACTGAATCTGTGGTTCACCATTCTGGCCAAACTGGCTGCCCAGTAAAACAAGCCTGGGGATCTGCCTCTCCACCACCAGTACTGGGTTACTGGGGCATGCTGCTATGCTCAGCTTTTCTGGGGGTGTTGGGGATTTGAATGGAGGTCCATACTCACTGGTAGTGTTATTTATCTTTTACCCCTGGTAGGTTTATTTCTAAAGCAAATGCCAACAGATTTTTCTGATTCTTGCATTGTAAAACTTCCAAAAATTTAGATGGCCTTTTCTCTTATAGTAAATTAAGTCCCCGGTATCAACTTGGAAGCAAATCTTCACTCACCTAGCATGGCATAAAGCAATCTAACTTTAAAAAGATTCTGGTTTAATAACAACTTGACTTTCAACTCAAAATCCTGAAAGCTTAGCGATTCTATCAGAGAAAGAACTTGCTTGTTTTGAAGTACAGAGGTTCAAAAGCAGGGCTTCATGTGTGCTATGCATATGTTCTCCTACTTAGTTCCAACCCATCCTACAGTAGGCACTTTTTATAAAAGTCAAGGGAAAGTCCATTCTGCTTCACATAAATTCATTTTGAAGTTCTTTATACATTCAGGAAATTAAAGCACTTGTGTCTCAGGTACATACACCTTTACAAGAGCCCAAGGTAATTATAAGTTACAAATAGAAAAAGCTTATCTTATTTAAATTTATTTCACGTTTATAATCTACAGAGACAATACTTTTTAAAAAGATATACATTCTCATTCTTCAAGGGTTCTGAAGTATGTTTCTTATTAAAAAAGTTACAACTCAAATTTATTTCCTATCTAGTACCTTTATATGAAAAACCTTTATACAATAAATTTTCAATCCCCAGAAGACACAACAGTATAGTACAAGAAAAATTGATTTATAAATACTCAGATTTATCGACTGAGATTTTCTGTGGCATACTTTCAACATGAGATTTTTTTTGGAGACAGGGTCTCCCTGTAGCCCCGGCCTGGAACTCACTATGTAGTCTAGGCTCTGAACTCACAAAGATCTGCCTGCCTCTGCCTCCCCAGTGCTGGGATTCAAGGTGTGACTCACCACACCAGGCATGAGATTTTTTTTTTAATGTCTCACTAATACAGTGTTCCACAGAATGTGATAATAAATTCAAACTAAATTGTAATTTCAGTACACTGTTCCTTTCAGTGTCTGTTCAGACAGTTGGACCAATTTTGCATTCAATGAATTTTCTTAATTAGATATGAGAAGAAAATTAAATATAGATTAAATTAAACAACACTGACAATTTGTCCCCAGATTTACATTATTATGTAGCTAATTTTTATTATTTGGTAATGATTTTCTTAGTGGAGCACATTCCAGAAAATGATAAAGACTAGTCAAATATAAATTAGATAATTTTTCATTATACCTACTATCTTTAGAAATGATATTCAATCACTGAATTGAGGGTAGGCCTAGCACAATTTCTTGGCACTAACTGAGATCCTAATATATAGTAGTCACATAAAAGAAATATATATTTTTTAAACGATTTTAGCTCTGGGAAAAGTAGTGTTTCAACTCAGTAGCTTTTAAAAAATTATAAAAATAGAATAACCAAATGAAAACATTATATAAAGAAAAATGAGTACAACACTAACCTTACATACTTTGCACTACTTAGAACATTTTGGAATTATAAAGACATTATATTCATATAGCGTTTGCAATTCCATACATTACACAGAACACTGATTTACATTTTGTAATTTCCTTTCTCTGTAATATCAAAAGGCGAATCTTAGAAATATCTTCCTAAAATAAGCTTATTCTATTTATATGATATCAAAATCTAGTTTAAATATTACAAATAACCTGCATTACACTTTTTACTATGGAAATACTAATACTATGAATTTGTAAGAGGTAGTGATCAACAGTTAGGGAAGTAGTTCAGTGATTAAAACACTTGCCATGTAAGCACTTGTAAAGTTCAGCTTCCCAGAGCCCACTTGAATGCCAGGTGGGTATGGTGACCCCCTGTAATTCCAATCTCAAAAGCAGAGATAGACGATCCCTAGAGAAAGTTGTCTAGCAATACTAGACACATCTATGAGTTCTGGGTTTAACTGAGAAAACCTGCTTCATTGAACAGAATGGAAGAGCAATCAAGGAAGACTCTTAATATCAAACATCAACTGTATACACACATGGGCACAGATACCACACACATGAAAATAGGATAAAAGAAATCATGATTAGTAAATAGTGTAGCACTCTTGTTAGGTATTCTTCGGAGTATGAAATCGACTTTAGGTGTGATTACTTCCTTCTGAATTACTGCTGCTCTAAGAGTGCATTTCAACTTTGAGGAGAGAATTTTACTGTCAGCAAGTATGACGTGTCCTGCTACCTTCTGAGTACTTCTTTCATCCTCATCTTCAGATGGATCTGACTGATGCTTGGGGCTGTCCATCTGAAGGAATGCACGCACATCTGGACTGAAAAGAAAAATTGATTATTACTCTGAAAGCATGTCTACAGTGTGTCTCCCTTTTAAAATAAAAACAAAGAAACCACCATATTAGCATGTGCAGCAAGCTATACAAAACATATTATTCATTATTATGAAAGAATAAGAAAGTTTTGCCTTTAAAGAGAGGGAACTCAGAGATAGGCAAAGATATTGACAGGCAGTTCCCAGAAGAGGGACTCTGAATGGAAGCTGATATGGAGATGCATTTCACAGCCATTAACAATGAGGGTATTCTTAACATTTAAACTAGATTATGATAGCACGTAAATCAAATATCTTGTTTTAGGAAGATATTTCTAAGTGTCACTTTTCAATTTTATAGGGAAAGGAAATTGTAAAATTGTAAATCAGAGCACTGCATGTAATGATATCAAACCTGGGTGAGTATAGAATGAGGCAACTTTCTGAAAAGCAGCATGGCAATCCCTGGAGAAACTCTGAATGCATTTTTCCTGGTCCCAGACCTACCAGTTCTAGATGCCTGCATACCAAACTGTTCTTAACAATCCAGTACAAATAAACGATATTTATTATAGGCTATTATAAAGATAAAGTAACTTTTTTTTGGGGGGGGGTCTTTTTGAAGCAGGGTCTCCCTGTGGCCCCAACTGTCCTGGAACTCACTATATAGACCAGGCTGGCCTTGAACTCTGAGAGATCTGCCTGCCTCTTGCCTCCCAAGTGCTGGGACTACAGGCGTGTGCCACCACACCCGCCAATAACTCTTTTTTAAGAGGGGAAGCCAGGCATGGTGGAGCACACCTTTAATCCAAGGATTAATCCAGAGGCAGAGACAAGCAGGTCTTTTTTGAGTTTGAGATCCACCTGGTCTACATAGTGAACACCAGGCCAATCAGGGCTATACAGTGAGATCCTGTCTCAAACAAAAACAAAACAAAAAAGGAGTGGGTTGGTGTGTGTGCTAAATTGTGATAGCTATAAGCGGTAATGATGGCTGTTCAGCACTGTGAATATATCACAAACTACTGGACTGTTCTTTAAAGTATCTAAAAGAAAATTTTAAAAGTGATACAAAGGCTCTTGGCTCTTACTAGTTTATATCAGTCTTACTCTCTGCATAATTAAGATCACCATATGCACGCAGTAAGATCATCGAAAGTATTCCTTGTGTTGTTACAACAGATTCCACAGAGGCACCATGTTGTATAATACATGTGCTACAAGTTACTCTGTGGCTTCCAACTTTTACTATACAGCTTTGACAGTGCTATAAAGGTAGACCTTGTGCCTAGCACCATAGCTGCATTATGACTTGCAAGTCAGATTTTTAAAAATTTATTTCTTTGTGTGTGGAGGGGGAGGGGGCATGTGCCATGGTGTACATGTGGAGGTCAGAGGACAACTCTGTGGTTACTGAGTTTCCTTCCACCTTAACGTGAGTTCTGGGGTTGGAACCCAGGTTGCCTGCCTTACATAGCAAACATCTTTCCCCGCTGAGCCATCTTACCAGCCCAGATTTTTAAAATCAAAACTATTTAGCCTAAATTATAAACTATTTTAAGGCTTCAACTACAGCATGCCACACTGATTTCCAGAAAGGCTAAAACTATTTTTACTCACATAGCTGTATGAGAAACCCAAAGACTCTTAAGCCGCGACATAAATGATCATATGATCATCTGATCAGTGCTACCAGTAATTAATGCCACAACTGGATATCACTGCTCTTTCACCAGAATGGCTAAACGTGAAAGATTAGCAACACTAAGTGGTGGCAAGATGAGCAATGTCTTTTCATGCACTCATGATGGAAGTACAACCTTATTATCATCTTGGAAGGTTGTGCAGCACCATCCCCTAGGGTAAACATCCTACAATTTCGAACTTGAGGTGAAGGAGAGTGCCCCTCAAACCTCCCTCCCTATCCTCTGAGAAAAAGCTGCCCTCCACACCTGACTCTGGAAATCCCCTCCATTGTTCAAACCCTTTCCTGGTATCTGTTTAAGATTTCTATGGAAATGGTCTGGGCCATAAGAGATAGAACGTTCTGCCCCAGGTAAGCTAGCCAATGACAGTATACTTGATACATCTGTGTATGGTCTCTATGGGAATAATCTGGGGCAGAAGAGAAAGAACGTTCTGCCCCAGGTAAGACAGCCAATGGCTGTATAGGTAAAGTCTCTGGAAATCAGCCCTAGATTGTTCCAATCCTTTCCTGGTTATTCTGTGTATAGTTTCTATGGACATCCCCTGCTTTATGGTTTTTGTGGTTTTTCTGCTTAAAAGCCCTGCATTTTCACTACTCAGGGTCGTAGTAGAGCTCCCGAGACTGTCTGTGTCCCCAACCGGTTGGCTCCAATAAAGCGCTCCTTTTTACTAAGACTCAGTGTCGGAGTGGTCAATTTAGGGAATTTTATGGACCCCAGAGGAATGTTTGCATATGTGCACCATAAGACACAGTAATGACAACAGTATTTATAATAGCCAGAAAAAAATCCTTTTGGGGAGAATCTCAAAATGTTAGCAAAATGTACATTGGTACAGGTTTGTTCTTTGGAAATCAGTTTTAACAGGCTGCATTTAAAGTCTTAAAATTGTTTATAATTCAGAATAAGTCATTTAAAGTCTCTCCTGAAAACTATAAAAGCAGCTCTGGTGATATGTAGCAAAGGCTGATGTTCAAGTGAAAAGCATCAACATTAAATTTGTTACCTCAAATGTCCATCAGCAGAAATGGACAAATTGTGGAATATTTTATTGCATTGGAAATTACCAAGGTAAGCCAGCCAGAGAATACATACAGGATGACTTTATTTATATGAAGTTCAAAAACAGGGCACACTAGTGTATGCTGTTAAAACAGGATGGTGGTTACTTTTGGGGAAGAAGGAATGGGAAATGACAGGTGTGTGAGGGGCTTGGGGGATGCTGGGAATAGTCTCATTCTTGGACTGAGATACATTCATTTCACTCTCAGTAACCTGTGTATAATGGCCAGGCACTTTTCTTTATTTAACACTAGATGGAGTAAAATTAATGAAGGTAGTTTTGCTTCCACTTCCATCTTTTTTTGTCTGTGAGACAAGGTCCTCCACTACACTATGTGGTCTAGGCTTGGCCTTGAACTGCTGACCTGCCTGCCTCCACTTCCTAAGTGCTGGGATTACAGGTGTGTACCACCATACCCAGCTCTATTTCCAATCTGAAATGCATAGGGAAATGTAGCAGTGTCTCTGATAATTAAAGAGCCATTTTCTTTTTGAGTCTTCAGTGTTTACTGATTGCATTGGCTCTTTTTCAGCTAACTACATTTATCTATCATCCTTCACCACGGCAAGCTTCTTGTGTATTTTGGGGTTTTTTTTTGTTTAAATATTTTATTTATTATTTTTATTTTATGTGTATGAGTGTATTGCCCACATGTATATGAGTGCACCTGTGTCGTGCAATGCCGTGGAGGTCAGAAGAGGGCTTCGGATTCCCCTGGAACTGGAGTTGAGGATGGGTAGCCGCCATGTGGGTGCTGGGAATTGAACCCGGGTCCTCTGGAAGAGCAGTCAGTGCTCTTAACCGCTGAGCCATCTCTCCAGCCCCGGGTTTTAGTTTTTAACCTATGATTTTAGGGTGTTAAAGATTTTGTTATTCAATTGTGCCACCTTTAAACTTTTGAAACATTAACAACGGCCAATATGCTCCAAAAAAAAAAAAAAAAAAAAAAAAAAAAACCCACCCTATTTCATCTTCAGGCCAGAGAAACACGCTGTGTTTTCATTTAAAAAAAAATAGTTTTAAGATTTAATTCTCATGAAGTCATTTTAGAACTTAGCTTTCACTGCTGAAGCACAGTTCTTTTGGGCCATGAGAGAGTTGTGACAAGGTCTCTGGTAGTCCATGTTGGCTTTAAACTTTTTATGTAGCTGAGGATGACAATGAACTATACTATCTTCCTGCCTCTGCCCTGAAAGTATGGAGATTATAGGCATGCATCACCAAGCCTGGCTGATAAAGCTATTTTAAGGTGTCCTCTCCAACAGCAGTAACAAGCACACAGTAAATATTCTTCCTGAACGTGCTATTTGGTCTTTCTTCATGTTATATATTTTAGGTAATTTCATATTAAAATGAAAGCCATGAAAATTAAAGTTCTGTTAACAGAGACAATATTCAGAAAATACAAAATGTCAGCAGGGTGTGGTGGCTCATGCCTTTAATCCCAGCACTGGGGAGGCAGAGGCAGGCAGATCTCTGTGAGTTGAAGGCCAGCCTGGTCTACATACTGAGTTCCAGATCAACTGGGGTTACAGGGAGATCCTGTCTCAAAAAGACTTAAAAACAAACAAACAAACAAAAAAACTTCAAAATGTCACATTATTAAAAAGAAAATGTCAGCTGAAACTTAAGCTTTAAAACCCCGTGGCTACCAGTGGTGGTGATGCAGGGTTTTAATCCCAGCACTCAGGAGGCAGGGGCAGGCAGATCTTGAAATCATGGCCAGCCTTGACTACATAGTGAGATCCAGGACAGCTGGGGCTACAGGGGGACCTGGTCTCAAAAAAACTACACATTATTGTGTAGTTTATTTTGAGGTGCTAGAAATGTCTTCTATCCTGAATGGAAAAGAAGTGGTTATAAAGTGCCTGTGTATATAAAATCTATTGAGTCCTACATGTAAGAATTATATATTTATACTTCAATTTTAAAGACATTTTTATTAAATCTTTGAGTACTTCATACAATGTATTTTGATCATATTCCTCCCTCCCCCAACTCCTTTCAGATTCACCCTACCCACTCAATTTCAGGTTCTTTTTTTCCTCCCCATTGAGTCCAATATGTATTGCCCAAATATTATTGAGTGTGGACCCTGGCCTAGATTGAGGGTGACCTACTGGGGGGGACACACCCTTAAAGAAAACTGTCTCTTCCTCTTCAGGAGCTACCAATGCCAAAAGATCCTCTGCTAGGGATAGGACTTTATGTCCACCTTTCCAGCTCCATATTCAGGTTTTGTTAGTTCAATGCATTTTTACAAAATATCTTATTTATTATTTTATTGTATGTGTTTGTGTGTATTGCCTACATGTAGGTAAGTGCACCCATATCATGCAACACCCACGGAGGACAGAAGAGGCTGTCAGATCCCCTTGAACTAGAGTTATGGATAGTTTTAGCTGCCATGTAGGTGCTGGGATTTGAACCCGGGTCTTCTGCAAGAACAGTCAGTGTTCTTAACTGCTGAGCCACCTTCTCCATGCCCAGATCAATGTATTTTTAAATACGTAATTTAAAATAATGCCATTGTGTTCAGCTGAATTTTAATGTCAAACTTAACATCTTTCCACTACTACTTTTTTTTTTTTGATCTTGTTGAGACAGGGTCTCCCTGTAGTCCCAGCTGTCCTGGAACTCACTATGTAGACCAGGCCAGCTTTGAACTCGATCCGCCTGCCTCTGCCTGCACCATCACGCCTGGCTCCACTACTACATTTTAAGATCCTGAATGAATATTTAACATTCACGATATGTGAGAGGATCTGATTAACACTTAAAACACCAGGGGAATAATAATAATTACCATTAGATACTGTACACTTAATTCCAACACAAATCTGTCAAAGGAAGAGACAAATTCAAAGTTCTGAATGCTTGGAAAATACTTCAGATATGCCAGAAATATACCAATTCAAAGTAATCTCCAGTGCATATACCAAAAATAAGGTTGGACAAACAGACATAATGTAAAGGTAGCATAAAACTTGCCCTAGGAAAAGAAATCACGTTAGAAAACTAGCCAAGGATCCATATAACAAAAGGTTCTTTGCTGTGGATCAGGCCTGACATGAACTCTGAATTCAAGGATCCCCCTAAATGGCACTGAGAATCCTTGTGTCACACAGGTGAAAATCCTGGTGCCTTCCTCACCCTGTCCCACCAGGGGAAAATCCAAAGCTCTGGGCAAAGACCATGTCAGAGTTTCACAGTGCAAATGTGATGGGCCCACAGAAGACTGTTCCAAAGGGGGTCCAACCCTGGTGCTTGAATTAACTTAAGTATCATGGTGGCTTCAGTTATCAACTTGATACACTTGGGAGAAGGGACCCTCATTAGAGAATTTCCTCTATCAGACTGGCCTGTGGGCATGTCTGTGAGGCATTTTCTTGATTATTGAGTGATATGGGAGGGCTGAGCCCAGGGTGGGTAGTGCCATCCCTGGGCAGGTGGTCCTGGGTTGTATAAGAAAGCAGGACCAGACCAGAGAAGCAAGGCACTAAGCAGTATTCCTCTGTGGTCTGTCTTCAGTTCCTCCCTCCAAGTTCCTGCCCTGGGTTTCTGCCCGACTTCCTTCAAAGATGGACTGTTACTGGGAGTTCTAAGATAAAATAAGCCCTTTCCTCCCCAAGTTATTTTTGGTCAAGTGTTTCATCACAGCCACAGAAAGTAACTAGGACACTTAATAAATTTACTTAATCAGTATTATACAAATGGCAATGAAAGATTCTAGAAAAACTGAGAGTTGGGGATGTAGAATAGGGTAAAGCACTTGCTAAACACGAAAAGGTCCTGGATCCAATGCTGAGTACTGAGCATGCAAAAACACTGGATTCAATCCTCAACACCATACATATTCACATATTAAAAAAATTTAATCGCTGGGCATGGTGGCACATGCCTTTAATCCTAGCACTCGGGAGGCAGAGGCAGGCGGATCTCTGTGAGTTTGAGGCCGGCCTGGTCTACATAGTGAGTTCCAGGAAAGCTGGGTTAAGGGGAGACCCTTTCTAAAAAAAAAAAAAAAAAAAAAAAAACCTTAATCACTTAAAAATACAGATCTTCGGCTGGGCGTGGTGGTGTACGCCTTTAATCCCAGCACTTGGGAGGCAGAGGCAGACAGATCTCTGTGAGTTCCAGGCCAGCCTGGTCTACATAGTGAATGCCAGGCCAGCTGGGGCTGCAGAGAGACCCTGCCTCATAAAGACCAAAAAAAAGAAAACAAAGAAAAAGAAATACAGATCTTCAGTGTTGTAGTTCCGAAAAAACTATTCAAAGTATTCTGTGTTCACATCATTGCCCATAAGGCAACCGTTACATCTATAGAGAGGTGACCTATGGAAAGAAAGATTCACCAGATATTTTACTGTATCTTCTTAATTCTTAGGTTTATAATGTTTTATATACAAAAAGAACATACACATAAATTACAAGTCACAATATATATATATAATACCCAAGGAATCAACTACCAGAATCAAAAAGCAAACCAGAGGTCTACCTGTCTACCTAAGCATTTGTGATATGACTCACCTTCTCCCCTCATCTAGAACTACTGGTCCACAGAGGAAGTTTAAACTCATTAGGGTAAGGCATACACAGAGCTGGGAAAGCACCTTCACCTGAAGCAGCTACCTGGAACAGTGTGGAGAAGGACAGAAGCCAGTGTGGGCCCACACAGGATACAGCTACAGGGGCCCAGGCAGTGGTGGCATGTGGGCCTGAGGCCTACCAACTCCAACCTCTTCTCTTTTCTGCAACCCCACTGTTCCAGCTACCCCACAATCTTAAGACTTAAGTGTCCTGCCATTTTGGCCTTTTTGTACTTCAGTTAACATGTACCACTCCTTTAGCTTTAATCACCTCCTACCTTTAAGTCTGGATGCCTTCCTTAACTTCCCTAGCAGGCCCATCACATTTTTCTCTGCCATCTTCCATCACCTCTGTCATAAAAATGACCTGGCTTTAATTCCTTGTTGACATGTTTGTCTCTCCCACTAGGCTGGGAGTCCCTGATCTGGAATGTACAGATGGCAAGCATTTACCTTTAAAATCCCAATAGACATAGCAGGTACTTAGGTATCTTTTTAAGGCACAGATAAATGTAGTATCAGATAATCAGCAGTATGTTTTAACTGTATTATGCAAATTTATTTCAACAGCAATCTACGAAATGCAACTAAAAAAGGAAGAAAGTATGAGTTGCAGGGGAAATAGATAAAACACTAGGAAAAAGCACTCTGGGCAGATTTTACAGACATGCAGAACAGTAACATTTCATAAAAAGCATGAAATCTCTGAGGTTTATTTGATACTATTGGGTGTGGTTTCACTGTCCCTTTAGAACAAAATAAGAACTACTTACTGGTTGTAAAGCTCTGGATACCTAACTAAGTTCTGAATGAATTCATTCAGTCCTGCTCTTCTTTGTTTAATAAAATCTGTAAGAGATAAACACTATTAGGATTACTTATATCAATCTATGCAGTCATTATCAAAACTTTTATGTAATATACAAATGGAAGAGTTAAGATGTCATTAAAAAACTATTTCTTAATTCATGTTACATGGTATACAAGGAAAAGTAAATGCTTAAGTACATATGATCTATAAACACAATAGCTAAAATTAAAGTAACAGAAATATGTACCCCAAAAGCAAATTCTCAAAAACTGTTTAAGATTCAAAATACTTTTTTTTGAGACAGTGTTTCACAAGTAGCTAAAGATAGCCTCCCATGTGTTGGGATTACAGACATGTGCTAGCACACCTGGTCAAATTCTAAACAGACTCACTACAAAACTTGAAGAAGCATTTTGTTTTGTTGAGATTCTTATGTGCCAGGCAATGAACACCAAGTAATACTATGCCACCAGTGATTGACAATCATAACATTAAGAAAAAAAACAAGAAGGAAATAATGATTTATTAACTAAGAATTAATCAATCACTGAGGCTTGCTGGCTGCCAGCATAGCTCCGAGTTCACTGAGAAAGCCTGTCTCAAGAGAATACAGTCGACAAGGGACAGAGCCAGGTACATGATGCCCTCCTCTGGCCTGTGCACACACAGGGCCCTCCCATGTTTGCATATACTATAAACGTGTCCATAGCACATAAATACACACCCACACATCCACACACACTCCATTTAGCCTTTAGGATAGTTTTTCACGGACATTGCTTAACAGATGCTTGTGAATGAAAACACAGAATACTAGTAAGAGATTGCTTTGTTGCTGTTTTGAGATAGGGTCTCACTTTGTAGGCCAAGCTGGCATGGAACTCCCTATGTGGCTCATGCTAGCCTCAAAACTGGGATCCTCTTGCCTTGGCCTGTTTCAAAATTGTCTGAAATGTATACCTAGTTCCAAAGTCAAAGGTGTAAATACAATTCATTCAGGAGGTCTACCTTCTGGCCCTTCTGCCTTCTTGGTCCTCTAGCTCCTTCTTAATATTACTCATCTTACTGATTTTTCAAAAATTTATTCTTTCATTATTACTTTTTTTCTTTTTTAAATCTCACATTCATACAACCAGAAACCAAACAAAATACATGAAATAAACTCATTGTGTTTTGTTTTTCAACTTAACAAAACTTTCTAGCAGTCTCACCATAGCAAAATATAGAAGTTTTTTTTTTTTTTTTTTTTTTTTGCTCATTTTTAGAGCCACATTGCATTCCAACCATAGATAGACATGTTATTTGCTTCTAATTTTATTATTTAAAATACTATTACAGGGGCAGGTCAGAGCACATACTGCTCTTGCAGAAGACCAAAGTTTAGGTCCCAGCACCCACACTGGTAGCTCACAACAGCTCCAAGAGATTCAATGCCTTCCTCTGGCATCTGTGGGCACCTGCATTCATATATGAACATATCCACAGACAGATATACAGAATTAAAAATTTTTATGTTAAAAAAATACTATCACAATCCACAATCTTGCTTGTCTATCATTTCGTATGCAGTACATCCTCATGGGAAGTTTATTTTGGGGACAGGTTCCTAAAAATATGATGCCTTGGTCAAAGTGAATGTATACAGTTTTGCTACATGTTACCAATTTCCTCTCTATACGGATTGTACAGTTTTGCAAAATATGAGAGTGCCTGTTTCCTCAAAGCTTAATGATACAAGCAGCTGATCCATCTTTGGTGCTTTGGGTATGACTAAACTTGCTTTCACTAAAGCAGGGCTTTTCAAGATCTCTGTGATACACAATTGGCTTCACTGTTGACAAGCTATACACAGTGTGTACTCAGGATAGATATCAAATGGTTGTTCAATAAAAGTCAAATTTTAGTGTCAGATCTTAATTCCTAAAAATGTAAGTACTACAGGCATTCAGTCAGCGATTGATTTTGTCTTTGTAATGAAGTTGTGATGTTGCAGGTCTTCTACTTCTCTATATCCTTGATGAAATGACTAGGCCTCAAGGATACAACTGAAGCCTCTATAGTGCTCCAGCCCAAGTTCAAGTTACACTTATCAGGAACAGGCAGTTTTAGTCTTCTTAACGCCCTTCTTCCACTTCCAATTATTACTGCCACTTCCAATTCCAATTACTACTGCCACTTCCAATTACCACTTACCCGGGCATCCAGGACCAACACATCAGGTATCTCTGGCTCTCTTCTCTGTCTTCTTTACTTAAGCAATTGTCAAGATTTTTTAAAAAATCTTTTTGAGACAGGGTTTCTCTTTGTAGCCCCAGCAGGCCTGGAACTCACAGAGATTCACCTGCCTCTACCTCCCAAGTGCTGGGATTAAATGTGTGTGCCACCATGCCCTGCCTTTTCTTTTAACTATTTCATCAATTCTAACATAGCTCACTTTCTAGTCCCAATTCTACCATACCCTACAGTCACTGTGCTGGATAGCTTCAGTTGTCAACTTTGGTGCACCTGGATGGAGCCTCAACTGGGGAATTTCCTCTATTGGACAGGACTCTGGCCATGTCTGTGGAGTATCTTGATTTTTGAGTGATGTAGGAGGGCCCACTCTAGGCAATGCCACCCCTGGGCAGGTTATTCTGTATTGTATATGAAAGCAGGTTGAGCATGGGCCAGGGGAGTAAGCCAGTAAGCAGCATTCCTCCATGGCCTGTGTGCTTCAGCTCCTGTCTCCAGGTTCCTGCCCTGAGTTCCTACCTTGGGCTCCCTCAGTGATGAACTGTGACCTGGGAGATGTAAGCCAAATAAAGCCTTTCCTGCCCAAGTTGGTATTGGTCAGAGTGTTTTGTCACAGCAATTGAAAGCAAACTACAACAGTTGTCATCTAATGGCAGGACAATTGGGTAATACGTGTTGTCCTGCTAAAAACAAAGCAATACAAAAGCTCCCAGCCCACAGAATCAGTTCTATAGAATAGAGAGGAGGGCTCTGTTGTAGCAACTTCATTTCCTTTGCTTCTCTTTATTATTGGATTCATATGGTAATAGTTTAAAGTCCAGTATTTACCAGACATTTTAAATTGATAAAAGACATTATGACAAGACAGACAGCAACTATAATGAAATGTGTTATAATTCTCTAGAGAGGCAAAAATAATGTCTATAATAAAGTAAAAACATTTTCTAATCTTGAGGTTTGTAAAGTGTAAAAGATAATTTCCCATTGAAGAAATAGCTGATCCTGCAGGCTATGGGAGGGAAAACAAGGCTTTAATTAAAGCAAGAATGTCAAAAGAAATATTTAAAAGATGGCGTTGATAAAAGAAGAGTTTGTTAATTATAGGCAGTATGTCAGAGAACTCAGTGAAAAGGTTAGGAGGAAAGAGAATGAGACCACAGGTTGGAGCACAACAGCACAATCACAGGAAGTGCCTGCAGCGTGTTTATCTCAAGTGATCAAGTAATGTAAGGTATCAAAATCTCAATGGATTTCAAGAATATAAGCAAATTAGATGGACAATCCACTCAGAATTCTTCTTAGCAACAGAGAAGATGAATCTTCTGATGGAATTCCTGGTGGATAAGGAGACTTCCGTCTCCCTATAAGCAGCCATCTGTAACCTAGACTGGTTTGATGCTTTAAACATGCAAATTCAAGATTCCTGAGACCATGTGAGTAGGCTCCTCAGGCACAAAATAATGGAAAATCTTTTTGGTATCTCATTCAGAGGTCTACAGGTTACTTACTGTGTACAGAGTACATGTTTAATAAATGTTTCTTAATGAAAGAATGAGTGATAATATGAATTTAGAGTAAGAATACCCCAGATTATCCTTAATGATCAAAATTTTTTCTGAAGCCAGATTGCTTGAATTTAACTTCCAAGTCTCCTATTTACAACTTGCATATGGCCCTGGGGAATATGAAACTGTACTT